GGAGACTTCCCAATAACACTGCAAGATTTGTGTGTGTAATCTGTAGTCAGCATTTGTAGGAGGAAAGAGAAGCTAATTGTAAGTATATGTTGTTGGCAATGTTTGGAAAAAAGGAAAGACAGAAACACCATCAAGGCAAAAAGAAATTTGAAAGACCTGGTAGGAGGAAGAGGGTACCTTATCAAAGAAAAGAGGAGGTGGGATTGCCCTGGAATAAATGTATCCAGTTTGACCAAGCTTGTGTTTGGAATTCTTCTGAGATGAGGTTGTTTGTGTAGCCCACCACCGATAAATAAAACATTCACAAACTAGGTCAAGATTAGAGCTATGAGACACTAACAAAACTGTATGATGAGCAGATCTTTTATGTTGTTTAATAAATACACCAAGAATCATGAGCTGAAACTATTAAAAACTGCTTGTTATTAACTTTTCAAGTCCAGGGAGGGTGGGGGGAAGGCACCGTAAGGAAGAAATCTCTGGAATAATTCTTCAAGCAGATTAAGTCTCCAGAGTACTGCTGCTCAACTTTGGCTGAAGCTCTTAGGCTTCAGGAAACTTGAACTTTGGATTATTCAGCCTTAACTGTAGAAATAAAATTGGCAATGAAATGGAAAACCATTCAAATAATCATGTTTTGTTTATTATAGCACTGCCAAACATATATGCTTCAGTGTGTACTGAACACAGGAGTGTCAGGAATGGCTCATCAGAACTAACAGAACTAAAACAAGTTTACTGTCAGACAGTCTGTGATGGGCAAAGCAGATGTCAACACACGGAAGGCATGTCACTGAATAAGGCCTATCCCAGGCTAATCTTCCATGTTACACCAGCTTTCGCTGCCATCTTTAGGGACAGGAGGGCAGCAAGCTTTGCACCTCTTCTGGGATGGTGCACTGAAGTCATTTTCCCAGACAGTGATAAATAGAGCATCTCTCACACCACTTCAGGAGACATCCCAAATGGGGACTGTTGGCTGGAATGGAACTTTAGTTATGGTCTGGTTCTAGATCCAGACATGCGGGTCAACTATGGGACTGTTCAAGAAGTCCAGTTAAACTTTGGGGTATTACTGCTTCTTTTCACATTCTTATAGTCTGTGTGACTCTGGTGTGACTCTCGTGTGACTCTTTTGCACTGCTCACACTTGGATTTCAGTCTGATCACAAATCAGACAAAAATCATGCTTATTGAAAAACTGAGATCTCCACCATGATGCAACTCTATTCCTAACTGAAGTACTGCTGAGATTACTGACAAACTAAAATACACCTCAACCCAGAAATGTCCAGTTCAGGCACTGTCACTGAGACGGATGGTATTGGTATGCTGTGGAGTGTGCACTCTTACCTGCTTCCTGTTATCTGCTTCCAGAAGGTACTTCTGAAGAACCAGTCATGCTGCTTGGGTTGCTTCAACAGGTATAAACAGTATTTACTGACTAGCTCGATAAATTGTAGATGATGAAAGCAAAGTGCTAACACATGGGATCTGGAGATCTACATGTACCCAAGAGAACAGACTTTGGTCAAATAGGTGCAAGCTGTGTGAAAGAGGAGACATAGTTTCATATCTTCTTTGACTTCTGGCAGAACACATTGTATTGTTTATCTGTTCATTCACTGATGAATATGGATGTACTTATTTGGCATTAGTGAAGGGACACTAATCTGAGACATGAGATAAACTCTGCTTGCAAATTGGCAGCTGATTGCCTGTGCTGTGCTCTTCTGCAAGTTGTCTCATTCCTGTAATTCGTATTTCCCATTCTCCCTGTTTTTCCTTGAACAGTGGTGAGTTTTCCCCAGCAGGATCCATCTCTGTGTATCTGGATGGGGAATGCTGGAGTATCAAAAATTGTTATCCATCACAGCGAAGTTAGTAGCACGCTGACATGGCTTACTTGAGTAGGGATGGACTGCCAAATTGGGACTGGCGTCATGAGGGTTTTAGACCTGATTTAGACAAATCTCTTTGTGAAGAGTCTCAGCTGGCCAACGGGCATTCAGATTGCCTCCATTTTCCTCCAGCTTATTTTAAAACCCGCATAACTCAGCGAGCAGTAATAGACATTTTAAACGGCGATCAGGGCTAATCGGTCACCAGCGGATTTTAACACTTGCATTCACTAAACGTGAGGACGGTGGCTGTAGCAGACCTGAGCCCTTCCCTCCCGCAGGGGGACCTCCAGCAGCCGCGGCAGCCGGCGCCGGAGCGCGTCGAGGCCAGTGCCGCTAGAGGATGCTCTTCGGCCGGCGCTCGGCCTCCGCCGGGGCCTCCGCGCCCCTCCGCCACTATGGGGCCGCTGTGGGGCCGCTGTGGGGCCGATATGGGGCCGATATGGGCCTCTCTTGGGCCCCGTGGCCGTGCCCACCCTGCTGCTCCCTTTTGCTGTGGGTGCAAAACTACTGCTAGGCAGTAGGCGTTTGGTGTGCCTCGGTTTTTCGTACGAGGTTAAACTCCTTGCAGGATGAAAAAGAAATTGTTTGTATGTGTAAGCCGTGAAGCATTCCTTGCCAGGTGCATTATTTAGCCTGCCTGGTGTTTTTAATGAAGCCAGTGTAGTTATTTACAACACAATGAACAGAGGGAACCCGTGCAGCAAGACTATGTACATAACATAGGACTTACACATCAATTATTACTTTTCTTCCCCTGCAGCAACCTGTGAAACACTGACTCACATAATTTACTCGCCATTCTGTTTATATATATTTGCACATCTCCTGTGGACCCTTCTCTGTTGTACACTTGGTGTAGGTTGACCAAAGAAAGGTCTCTATGCACATAGGGACCCAGCTGACTGTTCTCTACACATGAACTCTGTATCTTATGCCCCACACCACCACCCCCCCCAACAAAAAAAAAAAAAAAAAAAAAAAAAAAAAAAAAAAAAGACTTATTTTGTTCTCTAATATATGAACCTAAGCAGCTCTATATTCATATCATCATGAAAAACGATCTTCAAATCAAAATTCATCATCAATTTTTCTAACATTACTTACACAGTTACAGTGAATTCTAAACAAAATTATACATTAAAGCACCTGTGCTGCAGTGCTCCAAAACTGTGTCTTCTAACAAGAAAGCCTGTTAAACCTTTTCTTTTTTCTTTCTGTTTATTCCATAACAAATTATAAGTTGGGTTGTTTTGGGTTTTTTGTTTGGTTTGGTTTTTGTTTTGTTTTGTCATCATCATATGTGAAACATAATATATTTTTTTAATCTGTAATTTTAGGGATTTTCCTTCCCTTTATTGAAGAGGACAAACCTCTTCAGTAAATAAAAATGCGGGTCAGGATCTTGGCAACTTGTCTGGTAGAAACAAATCATATATAAGCCACTTCAAGCAACTTTGAGTCACTGTTCAGCTGTTGATCTTGCTGTTTCTTTCAGGGGTCAGGCTACGGCCACGATGCTGTTTGCACACTGAGTTACTTGCTGATGATGATGAGGGAAATTCCTTATTTCTAAAGTTAACTGTGTCTTTCAGTTTGCTGAAGACCTATAGCTATAATTTCAGTATCGTCCTTTTAGAACAGCTTCAGTTTTATTGTTTATAAACTATTGTTGTGAACAGTATCTGGAAATATTGGTATCCTTAGTCCATTGTTGCTGTTTGGATTTATATGTATCTTTTCCTGGTTTTGTATTAATACCACTAAAAACTTAAATCACAATAAAAAACTCTCCAGAATAGTTCAGGCTGCTGTATTCTTTGTTTACTACTGTAGCCTAGCTTGTAAAAGGAGCTCACAGGTCTGCACATTGGTATTTGGCCTTGGTAGTCCATAAGTCCTAACTTGTGAAGCTTCTATAACAGTATAACAGAACCCTGTATGTTCTGTTCCTGTTGAATATCTATCACCATTTATCTCATTGACCACACTGGTTTCTAGAAATAGTCAGGTGGCAGACAGAGCTTTGACTGTGCTTTGCTCTACATTCATCAAAACTGGTAGGAACTACTCTCTTTCACTTCTTTCAAAGCTATAAATACTAATGCAGTATTTTTCCTTTATTTTTTAATGCTTTCTCTTACTAATATTGTGATTTTAAGTTACTTTTAAATTACTTTAATTTGCACACAGCTCTTAAAGGGCTTTTGAAATGAAGAGAGCAGAGAAAATGAAATGAACCTGTGACACGAAGAGGCTCATCATCATGGACAAAGTGGCTTTAAAGGAGTAGAACACCAATCTGCTCTCTTGAAAAAGCTGTCCCTGCTCCTGATGGTACTGAGTGAAGGAAAGAGAGAGAATCCTGCTCTGCAGGGTATTAGTGCTGGTTTTGTTACCTCCTGGGGCTCAAGGCTCTTCTGCAAAACCACAGGGGAATGCTATGGTGAGGCAGTGTGGGAACATGACAGGAAAGAAGTTCACTCCTCAGCTCTGAACTGCTGGCTCCAAACCATTTCTGAGATAGAGAAGATTTGATGGAGAGGGAATCAAATATTTCATTTCAAGTTCCAGTTTTCAATTGAAGGTAATTTTAAGAAATGTTCTCATTGTTATTTAATTTGAAATTGCTTTTGAAAATATCAAAGTAAAACTGAGATGAAATCAGGAAAAAATCCTAAATCTACTTTATTCCTGCCCTGAACAAACAAAAAATTGATGTGATAAAATCTTCAGCTTTCTGAAGGGTTGAAGTAACTCCCCTGTGCTCTGCTCACATCATCTCATTTCAGAAATCCCAGTGTGCATGTATCATGCAATCAAGGGACTCTGTGCAAGTGATGGAGTGGTGAGGTCTGGGAGGCAGGAGAGATAGCAGGTCTGAAAGGAGGGTGATGCACAGCTCTACCGTCAGGCACAAAGCAAGTTGGAGATGTGACACTAGTCTCAGTGAGTTTGAATTTAAAAAAAAAAAAAAAGAAAGAAAGAAAGAAAGAAAGAAAGAAAGAAAAATGGCTGAAACACAAATTATTCTGCAGAATAGCCACATTCCTGTAGGATCACATTTCTGAACTACATTAAGCAGCCAATGATCTCTTATCTGCCTTGTTTTTTAATGAGATAACTTGATGATAAACTGTACCTGCTCTTGCAGTATGGCATTTTAACATACAGCCACACTGATGTTTAACTGAAGAAAATCCTGGATCCTGACAAAACCTGTTTTAGGTAGACATAACCAGAAAATATCCTGCCCTTTATACACACAAATTAAGAGATCATTTCAGTCTTTCTAGAGGTTTCAAAAAGGTCTTTCTGCCGTGAACACTCAGTGCTTCTTACTTCCATCCTTCTCTCCTCTTGGCCTGCTTTTCTGATTGAAGTATTTGTAATGTACTTCCAGTAACACATTAAGTGAACTCACTTACATCTGTCACATATTGTTCTTTCCATCTTTCTGTCATCCCTTCCTGTTGGAAAAATATTTATCCAACTTGTTGATTCATGCAGTTATGAAGGGTAAACACCAGCATTTGAAACAGGGCACACGGGGTTTCTCCTCTCATCCGGAAAGTCTTTTATGGACAGCAGGGTAGGGATCAAAGTATGAGAAACACAGTTCAAAACAGAGTCTCTCAGATTTCTTAACATCTTCAAAACCAGAGCAAAGATTAAGGCAGTAGACATTTGACGGTTTTCTTGTTATATAAGCATACAGCAGGAGTCAAGGTGCATATTAGCAGAATTTTGATACTTGTTTCAACACCGACATAAAATAGAACAGAAAAAAAAATCAGAAAAACAAAGACAGAGGACAGATGCCAAAAGAGAGACTCACTAAACTGTTTTAGAGACAATGCTAAAAAGGGTTGTTGTCCCAAAGCTCCAGCAAGTGGGTAAACTACAGGCCTCCCAATGAAGCGCTGCATTGGAGCTGTCTGAGAGTATAAGCATGCCTGAAATGGTGCTGGTATCTAAAGAGGACACAGCAGCTTCAGGTTATCTACTCCCCAGTTACACCCAGATGGATATTTTCCACTGAGGTTGACACCCGTTCCTTAGGTGAAGCTGAGGTTCAGGGCCCTCTCAGCCCAAAACAAGTGTGCACCTTACAAGATCCAGGAAAGTACCATAAGCACTGGGGTAAAAGTAAGTTCTGGGGAACAGATTTCTCCTTCTACTGCTGAACAGCTGCAGAACTCTGAAGAATTCTGTGAGTAATGCAAATCAAACCCATGGGGTCAAATCCAAGAGTGCATAAGAAAGAACACGACTGTAAAATAATGACATAGGTTGTCCATGCATTTATATTAAACATTCATTAGAATAAAAGAACAGAAATAACCCAGAGAACAAATCCCAGTTCTTTTCCTGTCAGGCTGACAAGTTCTTATCACTGCTGATGCTTATTTTGGAATTTGACAAACCAAAAAATCCACATTCTTTGACATGGAAAAATTCAAGTGAGAAGTTACAGAAAACTTTAATGGTCATAAAATGTGCAGTCTCTCAAATCTGGCTGACAGAATCACTTCAGCTGACAACTTCCTGGTCTGGATGTAACACGTTTAGAAAGAGATAGAAGGCAAATGATAGGATCTCTACAAATCAAAGCCATCCAGCTCATTTCTGTGGCAAACAGTAGTTACTTCTGCAGGTCTTGGCCAGGCAGAGCCCAGGGCAGAAGGCCTCCTGCCCTTGAAAGAGGCTTCCATAAGAAGTCTGTGAGATGAACACACTGAATTGCCAGAAATACTTTGCAAGGATGTGGAATTAAACTTGTCAACTTTTATCCTTGGTTCCTTGCTACCCTATCCAGTGTTTCAAGAATTTATGTTTTGGACCTGGCACATAGTTTTGGAGGACTACTCTACACCCTCCCTAGATAACTCTATATTTTTCTTGGGATATATAATCTTAAATTTCTCCTTTCACTGAAATAAATTGTATGTCACTTTTTCCTCTCCTCCTCCATTTTTACTTTAAAAAACACTTACTGGTAGCTCACCCTTGTTGCTCAGGAGCTGGTGGGACCAGACCACAAAGCAGTGGGATGAGGCAGTGGGGCAGAGCAGTGTCTCCCCTCCACCTCCTTCTCTGCTCAGTAGTGGAAAAAAAGGTTGTAACTGGCTTCGTGGCAATCGTTTGCTGTCACCATCAGATTTAGAGCTGCTGTTGCAAACGGCCAAATGCATTCCGGGTGCAGCTTTGCTGAAAGTGGCACTTCGCCGCGCTGAGTGAATGCTGATGGATGTTCTTTAATTAAAGTGCTATAATAAAAAATACAGAACATCTGTGCCAAAGTGCTAAGTAATCTGTCTAAACAGATATCTAATTTTAAGCTCGGTCCTTTTACAGAACTATTATATAAAATTTTTCAAATAGGAAATAGAGTCCTGCTTTTCCTATGTGCATTGTATTTCTCTTTACTCAATGCAAATGTTCTCAGCCAGCATTTGCCTTTATTTGAAGTTAAGTAAGCTCTTCTCCTCCTTTGGGCTCCTAGTTAAATGGCTCTGCTGGTAAAAAACTAAAGAAATTTTTATTTTATTGTGATTTAACATCCTAGTATTTATTGCATATAAGCTACTGGAAACAAATTTACATGCAGACACAAACTTTTATGATAAACTCAGTTTGCAGAAAACATTTGGGATTGCTTGTGTTACAAGCAGTCTTTCTGAAAAGGAGACCTTTACTTGAACATACTGACCTTGTTAACCAGTCCTGCAGTGCACTGCTGCTCTCTCTTTTTAGTAGGGAGCCTGTGGGCTCCAGCACAACCTGACCGCTGACCTTGAGTACACCAAATTGCAATGTAATCCTGAGACAGCAGCCTGAGCAATTCCAACAGGTATCTTCTGCAAAAGACAGAGAAAGGTCTGATCCAAAATGAAATTAGGCACACACACACACACACACACACACACACAAAAAAAAAAAAAAAAAAAAAAAAAAAAAAAAAAAAAAAGAGAGAGAGGACATTTACTTCTAGGCATTATTGAGCTGAAACTCACAAGCCAGATTCATGGCATGCTTTGGCTGGCATTCTTTTGCTCTGTTTTCTTTATACCCATGTCTTCAGAAAGGAAGCTCTAGGATAGTATTTTCCTGCAACTAACACCTTCCCAGTTATTACCAGTTGGCAGAAATTCAACTATGCCTTCCATGTGTGGATACAAGCTTTTTCTCTTTACCTTTATCAGCTCATCTTGGGGCAAAACCCCAGCTCTGGTGGACTTCTGTGGAAAGGTCGGAGCTCTGAGAACAGCTGGTGGCTTCCCATGCCCAAGAGAGAAGGGATGCCCAGAGCAGCGAGGAGCTCTGGGTACAATTTCAGTACAGGGTTTCTGTGATAAAGCCCCCTGCTGAACATAGCTTTGGTTAAGGTTTGTCACATTCTACTGCAGTTTTCCAGAAACATGGAGAAATAAATAAATGTTTTGATTGTGCTTCCTCATGGCTGAAGCTTACTCAGCTAAAGCTTGTCACTCACTGACCTGCAGGGAGAACAACATGAAAAACATTAATAAAAATAAATAAAAATAAAAAGGAAAAAACACACACAAAGGAAACAAGGAAAGGGGGATGTAATCTAAGCAGGGAAGTGTTAACTTTACTTGCAAACCAAAACTATAATGTGAGGCAGTGGTGCCAAAATACATTCGCCTGCCAGTTTTTCTGTGAGACGGGTAGCTTTTTCCACAGGAAAGTGGAAATGACCCTGAAACTCACCCCAAGGCAGTGGCTGCTGGAGCTGTAATCTGTGCAGAAAGAAAAAAGGGGAAAAAAATAAAGCTGGTTATGTTCTGCAGGAAAAGTGATTTGGGGAGGGAAGGAGGAGGGGCCTGAAAAAGAGATGTAGCTTATGTGCAGTGGAAAGTTCAGAAAACACTCCGTTTCCAGAAAGAAAATAAATGGTGCGTAGGGATGACCACGGGGCGGGGACAGAGGAGCCTCAGGCAGCAGGGGCAGAGCATATGTAGATCAGGAGGGCAAAGAAACACAGATGTGGGGAAGGAGAGAAATGAGGGCAGCGGTGAGTGAATCACTGGGAGAAGTGGGGGTGGGAGAGACTGGTGGGACCAGGAAACGCGGGCGGAACTGGAAGCTGGAGGGATTTGTGCTCTCCTTTCCCTATGGGCTGACGGATCCTCGGTGCTCTGTACAGGCTGTCTTCTTCGAGACCACAGCTACTGTACATTTAAGTTACCTCAAGCACATTCTCTCCCTGCCCAAAAACTTTATGCAGGCTGGATTTTTAATTTCTCTTCTTTTGACAGAGCCCTGATCAGAACAATTCTTCAGGAATTCCCGCCTGTGGGCTGTGTGTCTCTTGGTCCTGAGCAAGTGCAGCAGGGCCGTGCTGCCATCATGGTCAGGAAGGAGTGGCTGTGCTGTATTTGCAGCCTGCAAGCAGTGTGAATTTAACTGCAGATGCACTGGTTCGATCAGGCAGTCCTTGCCTTTAACAAAGTCTGAGGTTTACTTGTTTTCATAAAATCTTCCAAGCTTTTTAGTTGAGAGGTGTGGAATTACTTCTTGCCTCTGGCTGTCCATCAGGTAGGCCCTTATCACCCCTGGGAAGGCATTACTGAGGCATTCAGCAAAAAGCAGTTCATCCACCCTAATTCTTTTCTCCTTTGAATGCTCCTGTTGCCTCAGCATGGGCATTGGTGATGCCCTCCATTTAGTCATGCTTTGTGGCTCTCCCTGTAATACGGAAAAGAAACCCCTCCAAGAAAACACCTGCTGTGCCAGGGAAACACCAGCTGACTCCTTACAGCTTTCTGCATGTGGTAGCAATAGAAAGGGGGAGCCAGGTGGGGAGAGAGCAGATGACCGGGCAGGATGGAAGAACACAGCCTCACCACCAGCTGTTGTGTCCTGGAGGCCACCTGGTCTGGTGTCCTGGCTGGGGTAGGGAAGCCCTGGCACATGAGATCAGAGTGCAAGAGCTTCCTTTTATTTATGTTTGCAGTAGCAAATGCACAAGGCAGCGAGGAGCAAGTGTTGCTGCCCGAATGTTTTCTGGAAGGCGAATGGCTTGATGGAGTGAGAGAAGGGGAGATGAGCTAAAAAAGCTGCCACTGAGTTTTATTGTGCCATTGACCTTGCCAGCCTGCAGGGGCAAGGAATCTGATGTATTTTGTTATGGCTCTGTACAGAGCAGCTAGAGCTTTCCACTGCACTCCCATTTGATCCAAGTGTAAATGCAGACCTGGTTCCTTGGGCTGTAGAGTCACAAACATCTGCATAAATGGGCAGCCACCTCTTTCCTTCCATACCCATAACTTAATGATGTGTGCTTATGGGGCCTCTAGGCTTGAACAGCTCTTAAATCTTTGTGCATGTCCATCATCTGGTCTTTAAGCTTTGTCAGCCTTTGTCACTTGAAGGGTAATACCTTTCTTATTGTGTATTTATAGCAATTGCATGCAATTCCAGCAAATATAGTTCTGCTTTTTCTGTGTTCTCCATAGACATTCATAGATCCTTGTTCAAATCTACCATAAGATTTACCTCTGCTGTGACTCCCCACTGCCTGCTTACAACTTGATTGCTGGTGAACTAAGACTGGCCCTTGTTCTATGTAAGGACCAAAGCAAGGGAAGATATGTCACATGCCTTACCAATCTATCCCATTAGTGCTTTGCAACCTAGTTTACATAATTCTCAGAACAGAAAGCTTTCTGGAACAAGGGTTTTCTTTTCTTCCTTGTTTGTGTAGTTTCTAACACAATGGAGTCCTAATCCTTGACATGTGCTGCATTATAGACCAACAAATTATTGTACCTTTTTTGGTAGTGAAGAGATCAAACCAGAAAGGAAGGAGACTAAGTTTTATTTCTAAGGGTAGTACAAAGGAAATGACTCAGATGAACATTTTGTGGTCTAGTGCATCTGAGTTTGCAGGTAGTATAAATGATCTCTTATAGGCTTCTTTGTCTTAATGTACACAGTGCAGGACCAGCATCCAAGAAAAAGAAAGCACAGGCTTAGGTTAAGAAATGGCCAGCATAAAGAAAGAAAAGATCCTTATCACAGCAAGAATACTCTTTGGAGCACTGCAAAGATTTTTGCTTGGATCTTTGCTGTTTCTAACCTACACAAATGGATCCAGACAAATGTACAGATGAGAACGGGTTAAAATATTAAGACTGAAGTGTTTTGAGAGCAGAATAAGCTATGTGTGTATTAGCTGGAAAGCAGAAGATATCTGGAACAAATGGATTTTCAGAAAACCTTTTCCGAGAGTGTGATGTAATGGAGTAGCGGGGAGGAGGTAGATACGTTATTTAATCAGACTGTCTTTGTCTCCTCTATTATTTGTTTCCTTTCCTCCCACTTATTTATCTTTGAAACGAATGCAGGAATTAACTAGAACAATGTGGGGAAGAAGTGACACTCATGGAAAAACAAGTGCTGGTCGTATTTGCATAAATGTGTGGGCACAAAGGTTTATGCACAAATGTGTGTTGACCAGCTTGTAATATCCCTACTTTTCCTCTTGGCTATTAAGAAGTTATGATTTAAGCAGTGAAAAAAACAAATGACTAGTTATATCCAATTCTGCTGCCTTTTTTTGTAAGTGGAGGCGATTCACCATGTGGTTCGTGTTTTGTAGGAATGCAGCATGTACTTCTGTAGCTCAAAGACTTTCCTGTTAGCTAAAAGTCATGTTTGTATAAGTGACAAGTCATAACACGTTAATTTTTTATTCTTTCTGGGTCCTGAGGATGTTTAATCAACGGTGTAGTCTGAACAAGTCCAGGAAATTAGTGTTCTTAATTAATAACTACTTCTGTTGAAAAGATTGAGATGTCTCAAGCCAACACCAATACAAGACTGAGTTATATACCTGGAATCCTTTCCTATTTCATTCTACTTCAAAATGTAAACACTATTTTTTATTTAAAATAACAAACATTTTCCAGCTTCTACAGTGAATATATACCATCATTACACTGATAATGCATAACCTTCTCAGTTTGCATTTGTTTTTGTTTGAAAACTATTCACAGAGTGTCTTTAAGACTTAGTTATGTTTGTGTGAGGACACACAGCATGTATGGCACCCCAAGGACGTCACATAAGGCTTCTTCCACTCCTTTGACCATTTGTTCCTCACTGTTGATAATATGGGTTTTTTCAAGTTCTGCCAAATGGGACCACTTCTGGTCCCTGGTAAGGTGAAACTTAATAAGGGAAAGGGAGTCTGAGTAAAGGTAGTTGAGTAAGCAAGATGAACCCAAATATATTTTTGAAGTTAGTCTGCCCAAATACCTCAGTTACCTAACTTTGTGCATCTCCATTTCACCACCACATATGTGTGGTTTTATAAACAATTGGACTTCCTTGTGCAGAGATTTTAGAAAGTAATTATAGTTATGAGTGAGCAAATTTAGAGAAATTGAATGTGATAATTGATGTAGCAGTTAAAAAGACCTTAAAAATCATCTTAAATGTATTTATTTTGCTAGCTGTAGCACTCATACTGCACTTGCTGCTACCAATACCTTCATTTTTTTTTATAAAAAGTACGCCTGAGTAGTCTATACTAAACCATGTTCTTGGTATTACATTTCTTCATCGTCTAGCCTGTCCTGTCTTCATCCTGCAGTGATTTCTATCAGTCCCATCCACTGGGTACACACTGTCCATTTGCCTTGTGATTACAACTGGCCAAGTGCCTGCCTGTTGTCTTGCATAACACAGCTTCTACTTGCTCCAGCCATATACACCACAATACAAATAATTACAGCTACACTGCTCTACTATGTGTGATTTGCTTGAAAATGAAAATTGTCATAGATCTGTGAATTTCAAATGAGTTCTGAGTGTCTGCACCATGTAGCAATTTATAGCAACTGAGTATCTGCCCTTAATACTGGAAACAAGTCTTTTGTTAGGAAGCAAATTGAGGATCCTTCTATATTGAGTATGCGTGTTTGTATTTTTTTATTGTGCTCATGCATGCAGTGATTACAAGAATATTGCTTTATGCATTCAAAGGGTGATACCAGGCACCAATTCTAGGAGTAGGAACTTGTCTGCCATGGGGACATCTTGATAACTGAACACCATTGGCACGGGCAGAGTTGGTGCTTGCTTGTGAGAGCAGACTCCTGAGGTCTTTGAGAAGGCTGTGGTTCTCCTGCTTAGCCTGCAAAACTGGGAAAGGCAGCACTGGCAGTGGAGCTGCTGCGTGAGGATGAGGGTGCATGTAGGCAGCCAGGCCCAGCAGGCATGCCCACTCCTCCTCTCTGACAGCAGCAAACCCAGCAAACCTTGTACCTTCACTGGCTTTCCATGTCATTTCTGCCTTTTCCCATGGTGAAATCCATGTCTTTCAATTGATGGAGTAGCAAAATTCAGTTTTACCAATGCATCTAAGTTTTCTCTGTGAAGTATAACTACACACTTCATTATTAAAATCTCTTTTATTCTTCTCCACCTTCTCCAACAGTGAACATTCATTGCTGATGACCTCACAAGGTTTCCTGTGTGGCTTCATTTGCCTGGGAAGCAGCATTTTAGGGATTTCAGAACTGCAACATGTCCAGATTTTATCCAGCATTAGAAATACTAAATAAATCCTAAAGATTCTGTTTTTTAAGGATGAAAACCAGTGTTTGTTAATTTTAAAAAATGTGTTTTTTGACAAGTATTAGCAGCTAGGTGAATGACCCCTTGAATTGTATAACGTAACAAGTATAAAAGCTAACACTGGACTTGATCTGAAAATAAGAATTAACCTACAGCAGATTAGATCATGATAATTATGTTGGCTTATTTGAAATGTTTGTTCAGTTTACCCTTTTATCAAGATTGTTAGATTGTATATGTCACAGGCTGGTGATGAATGCTGTCCCTTGGGGGTCTCTCTTGGGACCAGTGCTATTTAATATCTTTATCAATGTCATAGACAGTGGGATCAAGTGCACCCTCAGCAAGTTTGCAGATGACACCAAGCTGAGTGGTGCAGTCAATACCACAGAAGGAAGGGACGCCATCCAAAGGGACATGGGCAAGTATGAGAAGTGGGCCCATGTGAACCTAATGAGGTTCAACAGGGCCAAGTGCAAGGTGCTGCACCTGGGTCAGGGCAATCCCAGACATGAGTACAGACTTGTAGAGCTCATTGAGAGCAGCCCTGCAGAGAGGTAGTTGGGAGTTCTGGTGGATGGAAAGCTTGACACGAGCCAG